ATAAGTTTCCCAACATTCTAAGTCTGCCCTATGAATACTGTACTTAATTTAGGCATCAAAATATAGGAAAAAATTTATCACTTTCTTCTGTTCAATAATTATAAGCTACTTTGTGTTTGTCGATTAGATAAAATGAGAATAAAAGCATGGAAACTTGTGGTTTTAACTTTGTGAAATAGGGAAAAGATCAAATAATAATAAAGATTTGGAAAGCACCAATTACATCAAGCAGCATCACAGTCGATATTCAGTCATCTTAGTCTATTGTTAAATTTGTCCCAAAACATGATCTGATATATCAGCTTCCTAAATTCAGCCCAACTATCCTTCATCGGCCCATTAAGAACTATCAAAATATTAGTTTCAGAGAACAAAATCACATGGTGAGTGAGACGAAGACTCACATCGTATGTCACTTCCTCTCCCAGATCTGCTTCTGTGATAAAGATTTTGGAGATTTTCTCACAGGGCCCGTAGAGCACACGAGTGACCAGAGGGTGTTCATCGTTCTTCAGTCGTGTCCTTTCTACCAGATCAGCACAAAAAAGTAAACTGCTAACAAACAAAAACAAGACCTATATCTACACAACCATAGCAAATACAAACTCACCTCCAGACTCATGCACCATATAAAGGACAAAGTCTTCACAGTTGTTTTCAACCTAAAATAAGACAAATAGTAAGTGTTTCAAGTTTAACTTATAAGAAAAATCTGAAGCCAGCAGCTTGTGCTCACCCTAAACTTGTGCAGCAGCAGGTTGAGGACTTGTCCGGTTGTCATTGAGCTGTTCACCCGAACATTAGTGACTGAACCATAAGCTGGAGTGAAAACAGATGTCTAAATGAAGAAAAACAGATAAATCAGTATGTTTGAGCAAAGCACATTTTGTTTTAGTACAGAACCTCTCATACACTTGAAAAGTTGAGTGTGTGTTCCTGGACATGAACATGTCGGACATTTTGGCCAGGAAAGCAACGGGAGAAAGGAAATCCTTTCATCTGCAGCTGGACTCTGTTCAACATCAACATCAGCTCATGCTGAATCAAGCAGAAACTAATGCGGGTAACTTTGCCTTAAGGTTGTTTTCTGTGGCACATAATGAAATCAGCCCACAGCAGGCCATTGTGAAACTCAGCAGAAGTACAGTCAGAGGAAATCACCGCCCCTCTGCACCTGGGGATACGTCAACAAGGGGATTTGTTAAAGTGTTATAGCTGATTGAGAGTGTTCTGTTTATTGTACCTTGTGGTTGTAGAAGTGGCCGTTGATCGAGAACCTATGTGTGCGAAGGCGCTGCAGGTCTCCGGCAGTGTGTGTGTTTGACCTCCTCTGAACTCGCATGAAGGAAGCGTCACTCCTGGTCCTCAGCAGCTGGGGGGAGTCCTCTTCCTCTTGACCCCCAACATCACCGTCTAAAGCAAGAAATAAATTACGTTTACACATTTTTAATAAAATGCTGTTCCGATGTTCCCTCTGCACTCTGCATGACACTGTATGAAAAAGGAAAGGGAATTTCTCAAATAAATATTAGCAAGTGGAATTATTTAGACTCTAAATATTCAGCAATGGTTAAACACTAACAATATTAACATTTTTGTAAGAAAGAATAATATAAGATAGTCCCTTTACTTTGTTTTATTACCTGTCTCATTTCCAATTCTCAGAGACAAACGTGAATTGAATTAAATCCTTTTAAAACTAAATCTGTCAGAAATATGAATCACGCTGAGGCTTAGCTGTATCAATTTAAGTTAGAAACTGCCATGAAGTTTTTGTTGAGAAAGTTTCTGCTTTGGAGCAAGAGTTTGTTTCCAACTTTCATAAGCATAAAAGACAGCACTGATGTCAAAGTTAAACTTGCTAGCATGCATGGAAGATTAACAGCAAGCGGCCAAGAATCTTAACCCTAAATTACAGACTGTCTCTGCTGTTTTAGTCATGAATGCTTCCCTCTTAAAAAAGGATCAACAAACACAACTAATTTGGTACCCTTTTATGTGTTAATTACAAATCATGACTAATACGTGTTTTTACTGTTTCATTCAGAAAGTTGAAACATCACTCCTGCCAGTGATGGAAATAAATAGTGCATCTGTTTATTTATAGTGTTGTTGATCTGATCTGGTGTAGCTGCCATATGAGGAAACTATAACACGTGAGACAAGCTTTCCACAAGACCTGCTGAACAAAGCACCTGCGAGGGTTTAATCTCTCACAACGTGTAATCTGCATTAATTCAGGAGATCTCGTGTGCGTGTTTGTGTTGGGAGGGGTGGAGGAATGACTGCACGTGTTTGCGTTCACCAGCTGGCTTAGGTTCTCCGTTCAGTGAGTTATTGTTGGACTCTGCTGCTGCCTGCTTTGCCACATTAGATATTTCATTCCTGAAAGAAAAAAAAAACGTTCATTTATTATTTTCTCTTAATTTTATGACTGTTTGGCTTTTCCTGGAGTGGAAAAGTAACAGTAGAAGACAAGCCACTCCAGGAATATTGATTCAACACGTTTTTCCTCACTTCAAATAAGTGAACACTGAAAGGACATGTCAGTTTCTTATACCCTTCTTAGATGTTCACTGAGTCTAAAACACATCTGAAAACTGTTCTTATTTCATTATGTCTAACAAAAAAGTCCACATATATATTCAAATTAAATTGCATTATTTTTTAAAAGACCAACAATTTTAATCTTATATGTTAAGAATTTGTTTACTTGTATTTATTCACTATACTTAATGGGAAAAATATTGTTAATCAGATTATGATTATCAAAGCTTCTATAACCTGGATAGTGGCCAGATAGTTTCATCTGCAAGGCTATTTTCTCAAGAAAGTGAAAAGCTACAAATGAAAAAAAGCAATACACTGGTATAACTTTGCAACTTTATTGCTAACAATGACTTTCAGGTTTTTACAAGAGAGTATTGCTCTCACATGACCTTCTCTTCTCAGTTGAGTCCATTAAAGTATGAATCAGGCAGCTTAACCTGTTGAGACGAAATCTTTCGTTGTCATCAAACATCTGAAGTCTTATTGGTCGGCGCAGACCCCAGTAAATGTTTAGCAGCCCCTCTAGGATGAGCTGTCCATCCTCCTGCACAAAGAGAACCACACAGAACAATAATAATCAACAGAAATGTTCACAGAGGAAATCCTGCTTGGCTGACGGCCACAGCCGCTCAGTTTCAGGTGTACGTGCTGGAACAGTCGCGTTCAGTTGCACAGGGAAGTCTGGAAAACTGGAGAAAGTCAGTCAGGTTGGGCTGTCCCTTTTTTCCACAGTGGAGGAGTAAAGTCATGTCCGAGGCGACATCAGAAAAGAGCGAGTGCTGTAGGTCACGTAGACGCAGTGTGAGGCTTTTAATCTAACATAAATGAGAAGAACTTTAGAGAACAAAAATATTTCTGAATGACCTTTGCTTTAGGGAAAACTGTTATAATTTACATCTATAAGTGTAACATATGTAGGAGAAATAGTAATGAAAGTCTTTTGACCTCAATAGTTTGATCAGCAGCTAATTATGCAAATTTTTCATAAAAACAGGAAGTAAATGATACTGTAGCTGTGAATATTAGAATTACAGACTAAGAAGGCTCTCTGTTTCCCCAGTTTGAAAATATTTGTTATGTAACCACCATTTCTAAGTCATTACCCGCAATACAACATGGGTCTTTCAACATAGGTTTTACTTGTTTCAATCAGATTGTCACAGAGATTTTAACACCAAAGTAAAAAGGATAAGACAAATTTTTGTTTTTATAAGTTAAAAGGTCAGTCAGGTCAGCTGATGCAAGGTTCGAGTTTCTGCTTTGCCTCTGGGTTAAATTCTACTCTACAGAAAATAAAACGCCGGAAACATCGAGAAAACAGCAAACGGGATAAATAATTCAAGAAATGTTCAAAAAGCTTGGTCAAAATGCAGTAAAGCTTTTGCTTTGATAATTTACTTTAGAAAGTAAACATACAGAAATAAAGGTAAACACTGGGTAAACTTTACAACTGCATACATAATTTTTGTTACATTACCACCACAAACTTCCAGGTATGACTTTAATGTGACAGACCCACAAAAATAGAATATAATTGTGAAGTGGAAATTATTATACAGGGTTCTTGATTTTTTTTTTTACAAGTATAATCTTGGGGATATGGCAGTTCATGTCATAAAGTATTCTGCTAAATGTTTCACTGAGCCACTCCAAGAATCAGCCCCACTCAATGTTTGAGCATTTAGGTTTCTATCTTTTTAGCTGGTTTCTTCTGCTGCCTGTTGTTCCTTGTTCTCCTGAGATTTTTCTTCTGTGTCTCAGTTTTATTTTTATTTTTATTTTTTTAAATTCTGAATTTTTATTATTCATTAAATGCCACTTAAAATTTCCCCAAAAGAAAAATGTTGATATAAAGTACCCCTCAATCTTTATATTGAGGGGTATATCAATATATCAACATGTCCACTGTTTCCACTGTAGTGGAAACAGTGGATTTCTGTTTCCACTACCAGTCAGCACACAAAGCTCAAGTACATAAAAGCACATCTTTCATATTTCTAAATAAACAAGAAACATCTTCTTGCCTGAATGCCTCATGACTGACACATTTTTCCATTTAACTGGTCTGTCATAGTTTTATAACAAGATTAAATTTGTAGTTGCCTAGTGGAAAAATATTCCATTCAGCATATAAACATTGTTTTTGACTTCATTTTAGACTGAACAGCGTTAAGAAAGTTACCTCCAAGCAAAACACTGGAAAAATACATTTCTGTGTGTGTATGTGTGGTAACTCCAGGGCTTCATTGTTTCTGCTATGTAAACACAGAGCACAGCTGCAGTACTGGACTCTGGTAACCCGCCACTCCTGAGTTTCCTGAGCATGCACAGACACACCCTCAAATGTGCACGCTCGCACCGATTCACATAGATGTAAGGTCAGCGAAGCTATTTTTGGATAAGGCGGTTAATCACTGTGTTGCAGCCAGCCTATAAAGCCTGGACGCATGCTCAAGTCCTCTCATACTCTGCTGCACGGATTAGACGGCGCTAAGTTTCTCTCAGCGTTCAAAGAGCCCAAACTGAAACACTGAAGGTGAGAAGGATTCGTCTTTTCTTTCTTTGTTTTATATGAGACTATCAAATTTTTACAATTTCAGAAAATAGGAAAGTAGTACTCCAGTGTTTTACCAGCATATTTAAGTTTTTTATGAATAAATTAGAATAACACTATCACAATTTTAATAATCTCTAATAAGTTTGTGTTTCTTCTTATTCCTGCAGCATGAAAAACAAGAGGCTGCTAATGTCTCTGCCTCTACTACCTACAATTACTGAGACACTAGAGGACCTGCCTGTCCATCCCTCCTCCTTGCAACAATCCCAGGGATCCCACTCTCTGGACGACTACATGTCAAGCATCCAAGCTCTTGCGCGGCCTGTCGAGGGCACGAGTTACGGCCCCGTCAGACTCCAGAGGTCCCCCCGGCAGCATCAGCGCTCAAAAACTGCCCGTGTGTCTTCACGCACACCAAGGACTTCCAGAGTAGCCAGTCTGCCCTCGCACAGCACAGAGGAGTTTTCCCTCAGGATGAGCAGAGAACGAGACAGCAGGGGCAAAGACCCCATGGACTGGCTTTTTGGACAAATAAGGACTTGAAGAGAGATGCTGTTATTGTCGGACATCATGTGGGTACTTTGCTGGAGTGAGGAAATAAGTTCGGAGGAACCTCAGGATGAACTGCTCCGCCATGGCTCATGATAATAGTGCAAATGTAACTTATATATTTATATTTTTATTTAGTAAAGACTCTTTGTGGTCTAAGTGTTTACAGAGTTTAATATTTTGTTAAGATGTAAGACGTGGTTTCTAATAAAATGCTGAAATATCACAATTTTCTTTCTGTTTTTTTTCAAGCAATTTATATCATTCTGACCTTTTTGTGCAGTATAAAAGAATTATCCGGGGAAGTTAATGAACAATTATCAGGGGAAGTTAATGGACAAAAACAAAACATATTAAAACAATAAAAATTCCCTTCATATCCTCTGAGCTCGGGTCCTCTACCAGAAGTCTGGTAGCTTGAGGGTCCTGCAGTATCTTGGCTGTGCCAAGGACTGCACATTTCTGGACTGAGATGTCTGATGTTGTTCCTGGGATCTGTTATCGCCATTGCTTCAGTTTGGGGGTTACTGCCCCCAAACTGAAGGGGGAAGTCACCCCCTAGTATAATTTACTATGTTTTAAAACTATTGAAAGCATAACTATTAAAACTGTAAGTTAAAAAATGTAAACGTCTTTAGTATTTTTTAGTGACATTTGCTTCTACTCCAACATGTACACTGTTATTGTTATGATTACATTTTCAGCTTCACGTTGATTTTTTTCTTTTTTTTTAAACATTTTTAGCAATGACTTTACCGCCATCTAGTGGTGGAGTTCAAACTTGAAGCCAGATATACTACACATAGCCACAAGGGGGCGCTTCATGGTTGCGCACATGATAATTTGGTTTTGGGTCACTACAATAAAGAGTTCAAGGTAAACAGTCACTTCTGTGTTTTATTGAGCGGTGAGTCAGAGAAGCGATGAATTATCTTCATTCAGTTTCAAGAGAGGTTGTAAATATAAGTATAATACAAGACACAAAGGAAGGAAGCACATGTTCTACATTTACTTAAACAGCTTTAAGATACACTGCTTCATGTTAGCTGAAATCATTTAAGGCAATTAGCTTTCAGTTTTAGAGATTCTGCACATTGTTGGGTCTTAGAATTAAGAATCAGTTTTCCTTTCACTAAACTTACATATCTTTTGTCAACAATCAAATAATTGTATTACTAATTCAGTGTGAAATTAAATTAAAATCAAATGTTGTCAAAATACTGAATGTGTAATAAATCCTGACCGTGGAACTTTGTATGCTGACGGGTCAAACTAAAGAACACTTTCAAAAATACAGTTAATTCAAGAACATTCTGAAAAGTCATACATGTTAGAGCTCGCTTCCTTCTCAAAGAGGTTTGGTTCATTTACTTTAACTGACATCTGTAAAGTCAGTCCTACTAACATGCCCACTCTGAAATGACTAACGCACATCACCTGACCTGATTATGATCTAATCTTGACTATAACTTTCAAATCTTCCTGTCTAAGCCTACCTCTAATTTTCACACACAACCTGTTTACATCAGACTGCTCTGTTTGGCAAAGAGGACTGACGCTGCATGTTTGCAACATCTAAGCCCATTCATATAGTGTATATGTTTACTAGAAATTTCCGAAATGAGTTTCCAAACTTTGGCTTTTGGGCAGCATACATGCATAACCAAAGAATGTTACTGCTGAGCAATGGTTTGACCTTCATAACCACAAAATATCCAGTGACTAAGTCCCCAGTAGCCTTGGGTCAGCTGAGTCTGCAGCTGAGATGCCCCACATAAATGTACAGAATCTGGTCTAAATATCTAGTCTAGACGTCAGCAAAGTATATTAGGGATCATACATGCAATTTTATTTATTTATTTTTTAATCAAAGTGTACAGCAGGACCCAAGAAGTTTTATTTTAGTTTAGTATTTCAAATGACATTTTTTTTCTGATTATATTTTACAGCTCATAAAACTACAAAATTTGAAGATTTGCATATACATAAAACAATAAAAAATAATTTTAGCTACTTAAATGTTATGTTGTGGAGTTGCAACAATATATCAATGTGAACAACCAGCTTCTTTAAAAGCATGTTGTGCTTAAGCACATTAATGGAAAGTTGAGTGGACAGAAACTGAAAACATTGCACAAGCCATAGGGTGGTGGTTCCCAAAGTGTGGGGCGCGGCCCCTGGGGGGTTGGTGTCATGCCTTTGCGGGACACATCAATGTGCGGCAATGTCCACATGGATGAATTTTTTCATTCATGTGGATGAATGAAAAAAACACTTACACAAAGGTGTTTCACTTTAAAGATGGTTTGTGGTGTGTTTTGATGCAACCTGAGGTGTGAAATAAACTTCAGTGGAGTTTGAAATATGTGTGCAGTTTTATCTCTGGTTGAACGATGTGTGTGCCCAGTTGATTTTTTTTTTTTCTCTTTGTCTTTTTTGGGGAGGATTTTATTGTAATTCATAGGGAGGCCTTTGGGAAACTTTGGAAACCACTGACATGGAGACAACTGCAGACCTGAAGTGTTCTGTAAGTTGTGTATTTCATTAGGGAAATTAATATCCCAGAATCTGAAGGAAGAGTGAAGAGACATGTCATCATCAACATGATGATGACATGTCGTTACTAAGTCCAAATTTAGTGCAGTCGTCTACCATAAAATGATTAGAAGATTCATTTAAAAAAATGCAGTGTGGACTTCCTTAGCGCCTCACAGAGCCCCACAGAGATCAGCTCCATGCCATGCTGCACTGATGCAGAAGTTTATGCAAAACTAATCCCAAACAAATACAAATACTCTTCAATGTATATGATTATACATTGTAGAGTACGTGGAAATACTTTTTAGAATGCCAACAGTTATGTATAAATATCCTCTTTGTTGGTCTTCATAGTCACATTTTTCGAGAAACCTTTTTATATTTGAAATAGCTATTGGTCACAGTCATTAAAATTAAGAGAAATAAATACTTCATATCACTCCATGTGTAAGAGATCTATTTTTTTATTGAACTACTGAAATAAGTTAAGCTATTTGATGCTATTCTAATTCCTGAACTTAATTGAATGAATCCCAGAATTCATCCATACAACAGCTCATATGTTTTCTTTGTGAATATTAAATCGTTAGCACAATTTTCTGAACAAACAAAAACAAACTTGTTCTCATGTTTATATAAATCATATCATGGTCAAGTGATTTTTTTCCATAAACATTTTCTCATAAAGAGCAAATTGACTAACCTATAAGGGTTATTAGGTTCAATGTGTTTGAAAATGCTTGAACTATCCCACCTTTCTTCATTTTTTTGCCCTAAAAGCGAGCCTGTTTTCAGAGATTTTGAGGAAGTTTTCCTTTAGGGTTTAACTGCTTTTTCCACTCATTTTCATTCCAGTCTCAAACAGGAATATTTTACTTATGACTCATTGAGCCAGGAAAAGCCTCTTAAACCCAAAGGATGCATCTGTGTTGACATACAACAGTCAATTTAACAGAGAACCTATTCTTCATTGAAACTTTAGGCACTCTGTTGCCAATATGTGACAACAATGCACAAACACGTGCATCTCCGGACACCAAAGACAAGAAATTATTTTCTTTGTCTTGTGGTTACTAGCAGGGCTGTACATGCCAAGTAGGTCAGCACTGTCTGACAAAGCTAAACACACATAATCTGTAGAATCAGAGTGGACAAGTCTGTACAGTCATCACAAAGAGATGCAAGTTCAGGAATCTAACGATGACTGATTATTTGACTCCTGCATATTTACAGATTACCCTCAGTTAAACTTGTGACTAATTTATTCTGTTTAAAACAAACAAACAAAAAATACTGAAAAAAAGTAAGATTGTATGAATAAAACAAATACTGGAATTGCATGGAGTATGAATATTATTAAGATGAGTTATTTAAATAATAATTCCCAAGCTAACAGTGCTTGTCCAGTTTAACTTTTTTTTTTTTTTACCTTGAACCATTAAACTGTCTCTTTTCAGTTGTATGTGTAACTCTGATCTAAAGATTCTGAGATGTTTCTTCTCTATCCATCTTTTTTTGGACTATAATGACTATAAAATGTTATGCTTTTCAGCCATAAAGCTACAACTGCTTGACCTTCCACTGCCACTCTGACTTAGAGTTACCAATAATGATTTTTTTTCTAAGATTAAACTCTGTAAATGATCCACATTTCTGACTGGTTTTAGTTTTTTGTACAACTAAAGATAAATGCTTAAACATTTCAAATACAAGCAAAGCCTAAGTAAAAAACAAACAAAAAAAATATTACTTTAGCTAAAAGATTTCCCACCTCTTGTCTGGAAAGTACAACCTGTCAGCCAAGGGTGCTTTAGAGGTATAATTTTTCTAAATGTTTTTACAGAAAAACCTGGCAGATGCAGTGGGGAGAAAATCCTGCTGAAAGGGAAAATTTTGTCAAATACCTTATTGTTCTGCTCTCATTAGGATTATTAGCTTGTAGTCACCTCTTGTTTATAAGAGGAATTTTGAATGCTCGTTGGTTATGTCTACCAGCACAAAATATTGATATTTTCTACTTATTGACCTGCTACTTAATACGCATTAAAATCACTGAAACCCTCTGTATTCTGAGCTCTTACATAAACCTACGACAGAACAAACTCAGCCATCTTTAGGGCTTCAGATACAAGATATTCAGGACTAAGTAGCAGCTGCATTTATGTATTTATATAAGTATTACATCTATATTTAATGCATATTTGTCTGTGTTTTTGCTGTCTTGGCAAACATAATGGTATCTTTCTTAATGTAAAAACAGTTTTTTATAAAAAGAAAAAAATTGTTGTGTCATCATCTGCCCCAGTATGTCTTGTGTGATTACATTATAAAATAAAAGTAGTTCACAGCTAAATCACTGAAGAACCTATGTTTTAGAACTGAAAGTATCCATTAATCTTACAGTGCAGTTCAGTTAAGTTACATAAACACACTTTTCCTTTCATTTTTTTTCATCTGCATAGCTGAAAGATGACATAGTGCTGTTTTTTGACATCAAAGCAGGGCTTACAGGGCTGAGTCAACCTTGGCTGGATCATTTTCTATTCATTTGAAATGAGGAGAAATTTGGTAACGTTTTATCTTACATAATATTAGAGTTTTGAAGGCATATAAACTGGTGTTTCCTTTGTGGCTGATATTGCAGAAATGTTTTTGTAGCAGTGCTTTCCTCTGCCCATCGTGT